TTTCGAACACAGTTCAGTTCATCCGAGCTACGAGGACCGATTTTCAAAATGTTGTCAGCAGTTTTCGGGCGTACAACGATAAAATCAGCTCGCCGATGGGAGGTTTTCGCCTGCCGAGAAGTCTCCACTCACGCGCAGCTATTGTTTCTTCACNTCACGAATGCCTACGGCGCAATATACTTCGACGGTGTGTATACCATAGACCACCAATCACCTGGAGGCCTGGAGGATTTCACACCAATCCAAAAGAGGCTTGGTGAGCATGATGATCTCGGATGCTCACAGACGTCTCATCAAGTGCAAGGAGGTTATACAAGAACAACAAAAGAACTGTCGAACTATACTGAACGAACGACAGATGGAACAGCTTGAAGATGCAATAAGTTGACGCGTAGAAAATGTCAAAAGAAAAAGAAAACTGGCACTCTCAAGAAAGCTCCAGAATTTGAATGATCATGTGCTAATCGATTTAAATGAAAACTGGGTCCGCAGTCTCTCCAATCACACAGGAAGAAAAACAAATCCTCAATAAAGGACTCAACTTCAACGTTAGAAATGCCAGAAACAAGGAAAACTTGGCGGAACTGTCACAAACCGTCAAATCGTCCACGTTACCTGAGGATGTGAAATAAGCCATACGACAAACAGTCGTCCCAGCGCTGATGCGAAAAGAACACCTCAATATGCTATCGAATCACGAGGAAGAAGCACTCAAAACACTAAAGATGGACAAAAATATCGTCATCCTACCAGCAGATAAAGAACGAATTACTGCGGTTGTGGACTAACCTGACTACACTCAAAAGTCTAGATAACTACTCCAATACATAGACACCTACCGCAGAATTGACACACCCCACCACAAAACTGGAAAATAAAATCAATACCACAGTGAAACGACTGGAAGAACTGCATCAAATAACCGAAGCGGAGCACTGGAGGATGGGAGCCAAAAACTCCGTTATCGCACAATTCTACGGACTGCCGAAGATACACATGGAAGGAATTCCCCTGAGGCCGATCGTCTCCCTTCTAGGAACAGCCACACACAAGTTGGCAAAATAATTATGGTACCGAATGAAGCCACTCATCACTTGACACGAGTATAGCGTCATGAACTCAAGACAGTTCCTGGACAAGCTCAAAACTGTCAATATCCAAGAAGACGAAATAATTGTCTCGTTCGACGTCCCCGCTTTGTTCACTTCAATCAACTTGGACCTGGCAAGATCCACGTTGCGAGAACTGATGACTGAGCACCCAACAAATCCACCAACGGAACCAGCTGCCATTCGCGAACTCATGCAACTATGCATGCAGACGTATTTCTAATTCGAGGGTAAAGTCTACGAACAACGGAAAGGAACACCAATGGGATCGCCAATTTCTGGACTCATAGCAGAAGCCGTATAGCAGAAGCTGGAAAAGAAGGTACTACTGAGAATTATACTAAAACTTTGGCTTCGATGCGTTGATGGTACATTCTTCATCTTGAAGAAGTCGGAAATAGAACTAACGTACAACGTTATCAATAACACATTCAACGGCATCAAGTTCACAACGGAGACCAAGAAGGATAAACAACTGGCCTTTTTGGACATCTTGATTATCAGAACGCCATTAAGAAAATTAGAGACAACGGTCTACCGCAAAGCAACACATGCAGGTGAAATCCTAAACTTCAAAAGTAATCATCCATACAGCCACAAAAGATGCTGTGTTAGAACCTTATTCGAAAGAATCCAAACGCACTGCAGCATCGACATACGCAAGAAGACAGAAAAATACTTCTTCAAAGTGTTCACTCGCAATGACTACCCCCGCAACTTCATCAAAATGACTCTGACTCAAAGAAAGAAGGAAACAGCAGATGGAAAACCACGAAAAAGAACGATCCTGTCGTAAATCAAAGACGTTTCAGAAATGACAGCAAGACTGCTCAGATTGTATGGAATCTAAGTCGCCTACTAACCGATCGCTTGTCTGAGGGGACTTCTAGCAAAACCAAAGGAGAGAATAATGGAGAAGAACAAGAGCAGCGTCATTTAAAAAATAAACTACAAGAGTTGTTCAAAACACTATATCGGACAACCTAGGAGAAAATTGTCAACAAGGATCCTTGAACGCCAATCAGCAGTCAGGAGGCATGACCAAGTATCGTTCATTTTCCCCCACGAAGATCAAGAAAGACATCCATTTGACTTCAAATCAGTGAGAGTTATCGACCAAGCCCGGTCAGAACACGCCAGAGAATTTCTCGAGGCCTGTCACTCTTCAATCAACTCAATAAACAGGCACATCGTACTGGATCACGTGTACACGCCAATGCAACTGAAGGACCAAATGACGCAACAAAGGTCACGCCGTGACCTGAGAACAGACGGAAACCGCAATCGGGACGAAAGGACAACTTCCTCCCCTCCAACCCCCACCCGCTCGCAACAGTTCAACGGCGGACCGAGTCGAACACAGTGAGAACAGGGGACGAAAATAGTCGGTGGAGAAGAACACATATATAAACGAACGGGTACAGGCGGAACACTGCCACTACACAAGAACTGATGATGTCACCTCGGTTGGTGATGCAACGTTTGCAAACAAATTGCCAAGCTTGGCGAACAGGCGAAATGGAACACAGTTATATTTTTCCTAAATCACGACCCTCGCGAATAAACAGAGGTCCAAAATAATCAACTCCTATGGTGTTAAAAAAGCACTAACCCTCTGGACCCTACATAGAAGTAGAGGAGCCATCATCCGCTGATCTGTAGAGGTGACCGTTTTCCGACATACTACGCATTAACCTATTAGTCGCTTCACTGCACTGATCCCCTTGAAAACCCAATACATTTGACGGATCGCTGACAAAACGTGTGACGTACCACCATGTCCTTCTCTACGATGCTAGTCACAATAATAAGATTAATCACATAATATCGATTGGGTAGGATTACCGGATGCTTGTAATGGGATGAGTAGTTTGCGTAACTAAGTAGCCCACCAACACAAAGCGAACCACCTATCATAACTCGACAAAGCTTCCTTAAAGAAGGCACCTTGTCTCCGTTTGGTGCTCCTTGAAGTCTTGCCTGTAATGTTGATTCACCGAATATTTCGTTCTGCACCATTGTTAAAATCTTCCATCGAGCTGCGTCCATTTCTTCTACCGTGAGGTTTCTCACGCTCAAGGTACTTTTGTTTTTCGACGAATACATGGTTCTAATGTAAGAGATGAAACGAATAAACCATGAAACTGACTTTAAAAAGTTTGACCGTTGAGAGTAACGATGCAGAAGTTGTTCTAGTTTAATCGACAAGTTGTTTTGGGGTTCTGACCAGCTACTCGACAAACAGTGTGGTAGTGCTACCGTTTACGTTAAGCAATATATCTTAAAACTTTGCGTGCCATAATCAACAGCTGGGACTGAGCCCAGACTGCTGCTTTTTTCTGTTTGTTTCAGATATCCCCCAATGCTGGAGTACACATTTTCGTCGTGAATAACGGCTGCGGTCTCTTTACAGTTTGCACAATATGTACCTAGAATTGATGCCAACCAAAAGCAAACAATAAAAATTCTGCATCTTTCCTCTGCTGATCTCCTGAGCTACCAGATTAAAACGGCTCTACGTTGGAACTACGCAAACGATATTGACATGTCCTGAGCCACTAATGTATACAACTCTTCTGAATGAAAAAGATGTTCGTCATGAAGAACGGACAGGGCCTCCATGCAGTCTGCGGCAATCCCGACCTGAGTAGAAGAACATAACCATAGAAACATTGAGATTCGTAATCTTGGGAAGTCGCCTACGACAAACCCGAATTTGTACACTTAGCCTGCAGGTCATAGCAAGATGCACATTAGTGCTTTTCTTATAGTTTTTTTCAAATCGTCTATCTCTTTGGCAATCAGATATGTATGATTTGATAACATAGAGATAATTTTAGTGGTAGTAAGGTAGTAGGTGAATCTATAGCAGTTATAAAGCTTTCTTGAGAATTAACTCAAAAGGCTATTTTCTGCATTTCCACTAAATTTAAACACTTTATGTACCATCAGGCCAAGCAGACATTACCAGTTGGTATCACGCCAGCCGAAGATCATTGTGCTGCTGCCACATTGTTGGTAAACTGGTTTCTTGGCATCGAAGAGGAGGATGAGGGTCCACAAGACGTTTATTACAAATTAAGTTATACCCAAACCACTTGATATCTTTTCCTTTTTTATTTTAATTTTGTTTCACTAAATGACTTCTGTGCATTTATAACCCATCTTCACAGGATAAACTGAAGAACGCCCACATACCCCCAACAGAGGGAGATAGGTGGCTACGTCTCCTAGGGTTTGGTAAAGTAAGACGAACCCTAAATCATACGGGTAACAGGTGCAAATGGTAGCGCTTGCTTGCTGACCAGCCCTGTAAACAAGGAGTGTGCCATTTTTACGGCCCAGAAGGGGTTACAGCTACAAATGTTTGTGTTGCCCCCTGATTACGACAACAATGAGAAACACCAATGGTAAACAACCATTTTAACCCTGTACGCAATACCATCGGGCATTTTTGCCTCCCCTAGCTAGAGTGTGTTGCCTAATACACCTAAGCTTGCCCAACCGTGGGGTGATCGGGTTCAAAGTTGATTCCTGTCCTAATTTTCTTCTTTCATTCCCCTAGTGATAAAGTGATTATGGCTAGAATTCCAGCCATTTTAAATAAAAACTCTATAGTTTATCCGCCTTTCTCTGTTTGATTGTTTGCGATAGTAGAATCCAATGTGCCCCTCAGATAACTCGTACTCGATGCATTTCTTTAAACCAGATTCCCGCAATGGAGCATTCGGTTTCTTGATTCCGAAGCTTATGTCATGCCTGGTGCCTTTGATGGAATTTTTCCATAGCCGTTAGTTTCATAAGCCCGAAAATTAGCCGAAAACCAATGACTATACCCATAGTATGCAATATTTCTATATGTTAACGACTGAGTATATCTCTCCAGCTGTCAGTTGCCATATGTTTTACCCCCATGAGACTCGGGTGTATCATTTGATATACGAATACTTTTACCTGACCATTAGCGTTTTTCTTGTTCAGTTTATTATTCCATACCGATAAGTTTTCATATTTTTGCGTCTTTATTCATCCCTATGCATATCTACGCTTATGTTGTCATTCTACAGGAACGTATCACTCCGAGTTTATTCGTTACCTTAAAGTTGCAGTTGTGTTGCGCTACAATGAGAAGTAAAGCATTAAAACAACAACATGTCCCACTCAACAACTCTTTATTATACTTCTTTTTCACAAACAGTAAGACCATCTTTCCAGATCTCATTTTGTATTGTATGAGGCCATTGTTGTTGTACCTTGCCAGCCATGATCGTGCACTACATGCATGCCTCTCGTTTTATTCTGAGAAAAGACCATTATTATTATTATTAATGGGGATGGAGGGTCGGGATCAGGGGCTACCTGCCCAGATGGTGTCGCGGGGGTTACCGGGGTGGAGGAAGAAGGACCTGTTGGGTCGGGAGTTGTGGGTAGCGCTACGAGTGTAGGACCATTGTCAGATGCTCCGATTTCAGCAGGCCGATGTTAACGGCCTCATGTCTGCCGTTGCGCTCTATTACGCCAGCTTTGTCGAAGCGTGGCAGTCCCATATGTGGGCGGCTGTACTGAGGTTGCAGAAATGCGAGAGTCTCTGCCATGATGGAAAAATGAGAGCTTTCGGCTAGTTCATGATGTAGGTAGGCTAGAGGCGTTTGCTGAAGAAGTGGTTGGATACGCATCTGGCGCATTCGATATACTAAACGAGCTTCGTGGTCACCGTAGTGGAAATTAGCTCGTGGGGTCAGTGTCACCATTTCCTGCGGAAGACACAAGGTGCTACCAAAGTCATTTCTGCCGGTGTGGACTAGTCCTCAGCTTTGAAGGCTTTGAAGGACTAATGGTAAAGACTCCTTCCACTCTGGGTTCGCCTGCACCGCAAGAGCATTTTTCGGTTGCTGATGAAAACGGTCAACTATCTTGTTGACTCCCCGGTGATAAGTGGTCGTCTGGACACGGAGAATGCTTAGTTGTGTAAGTAACTACGCGAAAACACCCTCAAAATGGGAATCGCTATCAGTTGTAACTACTTAAGAACAACCGACGTTTTCTATCCATTCCCCTACGAAGGCCTGTGCGGCTGCCTTGCTCGATGCGGAAGCCAAGGGCACAGTCACCGGCCACCGTGTGAAACGATCAGTGCAATTGATGATATAGATAAACTCTTTCGATGGTGCCAGAGGCCCCACTAGGCATATTTGTACGTGGTGAAACCGTTCGTGGAAAACGAAGAACGAACCAATTGGGCTCTTTGTGTGTCAAGTAACCTTGTTACGTCGGCGGGATAAGCAATGGCAAGTTTATTGGCCGATATCTTTATTGATGTTATGCCAGGATGAATGATAAAGGATACGTTTCACTCGGATGCCTGGGTAGGACAAGTTATGCAGTGTCTCGAAAACCCTTTTGCTTAATGTTGACAAAACTACTAGTTTAGAGTAGCCTAAGGAGACATCGCAATTGGCTTGATCTCTTATGGTGATAATAGTACACACTGACCACGAACTACGAACCACGAAATGCGGATCACGAAATAGCAATCGTGGACTTAACACAAGCACTGGATCACACTGTTACTTGTACGCAGTATCCCACGGAACCGAGACGCGATAAAAAGGCCACAGGAATAGCAGTTCGTTTGTTAAGAGAAATCGCATGGTCGTACTCTTGGCGCCGTACAGCTTCTGTCTACGCCGTACGGCTTATGATTGGTCGGCACAACCGACCTATGGTTTCTAGTCTACAAGCTGTGACACGTACACACTTTGCTGACATCACCCGGGAATCTTGATTGATCACAGTTGTTCGGAAAATGTAACGTATGGCTCCAAGGTTTGCATCATCCCGTAAACTCGAATCACCATACCATGAATATCGTTGTTTCCCCCAACTGTTTCAACGGAAGTTGCACTTCTATCAGTAATTCTTTAGAGCGCTTAACAGGAGCTGCAGTGGGCACCGTTTTGGGGGACGATGGGTGCTGCGGGCCTCGCTACATCTTCTATGGTGGGATGGCTAGCTGGTTGAGGCTGTATGCGCGGGCAAAGACACTGAGGAAACGAGAGTCATTCGAGAGGTATAGACATTTCTCCGAGGTGTGTTTATCGTAAAATCCGTCCCTCAAAAGCTTGCGCAAACTCGTCCACTCACTCCCATGAAGGTAATCCACCATCTTGCACTCACACTTCGGATCAGTCTGATTTCAGCCGTGCATACACAAACAAAAGCATACGACCTTACATGCTGCATTAGTCTCCTATTGTAATAACCATGATCGTCTTATCTATAGGAAGTTGGAGCACAGCGTCAAAGTGCTCTAATTAACGCACTAAAGGTATCATATCTAGTGGCACCCAAGAGTCATACCTCTGTCTTTGTGGTGTTGGTGGCTAGTGGGTCTGTCATTGAACGCACCAGCTTATACAGTTTCCTCATATGGGTTGCCGACTATCATAGTATCATTGGCAAAAAGGTAACAGGGTGACTTTAGCCTGGCGGTCAAATCCTTTATAAAAATGGTGAAGAGTAACGGCCCCAATACTGAACGATGAGGTACTCCGCTGCAGCCATTAGCCAAGCGGGAGTACTCACCCACCAATCTGACGTACACTTTTCGATGTTTTAGTTAGTCTTTTAGTCATCGCACCACTGTTAGTGGCATGCTCAGATCCCTAAGCTAGGTCAGCAGTAGACGGTGATTCACGAAATCAAAGGCTTTCCGGAAATAGCAACAGAATATTTCTACTTGATCACCTCTTGCGGTCACATCATCGAGTTAAGGAAGCAAGTTGCTGATACGTGACTTCCCACCAACTAACCTATATTGTGGGAGTTTCATGCGGTTCTGTATCATTAGGTGGTTCACTAGTGCTTTCCTTATGCATTTTCTATAAATTTTTAGCACAAACGGTACGAGGATTAAGGGACAGTAATTCTCAACAAAGTTCCGACTGTATTGCATGCTGAATTTTTTTAATATCGCTCAAAACCCACAATGATTTTTGGTGAAATAACTTTATCTGCGTGTTGCTCCTATATTGACATTTCTCGATCACAAACACCGTACACTATTATTTATCTGTTAATTCGATGCCTGGCACATTTGAATTTTGCGTGGTCAGAGAACGTGAGCGACTGTTTGCCTCTCTCCAGACATCATTTTTGGCTCGCTTGCTTGATTGCTTTCGACCGCATATTTGAGGTTTGCTTTATTGTAAATTTGGAATGATTTCGCTAATTCACTACCGTAGAATATCACGGATCAATCGTGTTTTATTTCGGGATTCGTATCAGTTTCGGCTACGCGTCACTCAAGTGCAAATTGGTTGACTTAAACCAACTGCNACTAATGGCCAATCAAACCTACTAGTCAGATGAAGTGCCACAATGTCGGCTAAAGGTTGCAGAATAAGACTATGCCTAAGCGAGGCTTTTACGAAAACAGGTCAGGTCAGGTTTCTAGGACGAAAAGAGGCTTTCGCCTAACGTGCGTCCAGATTCATACACCAGTAGGATTTGGGA